TCCATTGTTCGAATCCTGGCGCGAGTATTCCAGGCTCCACCTGGAAAAACAAGTCTGAAAAGCCCACATTTTATAACAATACATTGTGAGAGAGAAGTTCCATTCAAATTTTAAGGCGAACTCAAACTTATTCGCGGTAGAACTCATTTGATCGAATCCTGGAAAATATTTTATGCCCTGACAGCTTAGAACTTATACCAACTTATTCTTATATAAGAAAGGAGACTTTACGAACAAGAAAAAAAAAATTAAGAAGCTTAAAACAAAACACTATAAATGTATTTATGAGAATGTAAAGATTCCCACCAAAAATCAACTGAAAATAAGAAGAAAATAATACTTTTTATTCGTAAATAAATATTTCAAACGAAGTAATTATTAATCAAATTTGTTGTTTATAATTTCTTATTATTTTCCTGTCTAAAATAACGTTTTATAAGGTTCAATACCCACAATTTTTATTTTGCCAACCTCAAATATAAAAATGCTACGTGGTGACTTTATTTTCCTAAATTCACTGCAATAAAAAAATTCAACCGGCTTGTTCGCTATTAAAAATAACGCAAGCTTTAAAAGGAATCGATACAGCCCACAGTTCACTGGCCGCGAGAAATCATGCCACCCATGAAATAAGAGTGCCTGCAGTTAGGACAAAAATGGGAATACGTTGTCACGAATCTCGCTCATCAATATTCCGGAAGTAGGATTGATACTAATCGGGATATGACATAGGATTAAAATGAACTCTCACAATCAGCCCGGATCAGAATAAGCTTAAAAGCTTTGAGAATCGGCATTGTGATCCTTTCATGCATTCTTTCCAAACGGTTGTTCCTTTTTTGTATAATACTTTGTATTGATTTAAATTTCTTCCTTTTTAATATTCACTATTTTTCGTGGTCCGCTTGACCAATTAATAACATTCAATTAATTAAGGTTTTAAGTTGAGATAAAAAAGTCAATGTCTCGAGCGGGATTCGAACCCACGACCTTCGGCTTGATACGCCGCTACTCTACCACTTGAGCTATCGTGACTTCTTTTTAATATTATTCAAATTAGTGTCTACATTTAGTAAGAAATATCGTTCAATAAATTTGATTCACAGTGTTATTGAGAAAAATTTAATATTTTGCGCCTGTTCTCGCCCTTATTTGGACTATATGTAATTACCACCCTATTTAACCACTGGTACTTTCATTTTGTCGACTTCTCTCACCCTGCTTATACCCCTGATGCAACCAATAAATACGATAAAAAACCGTATCGGGACTGGTGATGATAGAAGTTATTGATCAGATATTAATTGGAATATGACACAGGATTAAACATAAATCCCCGCAGCATTGAGAATCTGCATAATGGGCTTTTTGTACTTTCTATTCAAACCGTTGGTTTCTTTTTTTCGATAAACTACTGGTATTTGTTTAGACTTTTTCGTAATTTAGATTGTTCAAATTAGCGTCTACATTAGTTGGAATATGCCAATTAATCACTATTATTTATAGTTTTATTGAGAAATATTTACTGTTTTGCGTCAGTTCCTGCAGTTTTTGGGATGTCAGATGAGTTTTCCATTTTCCGATCTCTGGTATGTACAAAGATACTTCCAGGGGTTTGTCACCCTGCTTATATTTCTGACACAATATATATAGCAATAAAACTGAAATATGACTAACTGACCGAAATACCGATGGTAGAACTGATCAGAAATTAATCGGAATATGATCTAGGATTAAAATGAACTCCCACCACAAAATCGGATCAGGATAAGATTAAAAGATTTAATATTTGGAAATCAAAAGGGACTTATGTGTACTCTTTCTAAACGCTTTTATTCCTTTCCTTTTTTTTATAATAAACTAGTAACTTTTTTGCGACCGTTCTCGCTGTTTTCGGTCGACAGACGTGCTTTTTTCCTTATTCATTGTTTGCGTATGGTTAACTTGTGTATAAACTGATTACACGCTGATTAAATACATATAAATAAATCTAATTCAGGGTTTTGTTGTTTAGTCTCATACTGCTTATAACTCAGATACAACCGATTAATACGGTAAAAAACTGAAACGAAAAAGTCTGACAGATTAAAACAGTCAGTTGGGCAAAAATTAGTCATGTCTAATGATTAATGATTAATCACTCAGACTGTTAGTCATGATTGGTAGAAGTGACTAATTTAGTCATTAGTCGCCATATGTGTTTGATGACTAAATTAGTCATTAGTCGCCATATGTCATTGATGACTAAATTAGTCATGACTAGTAATTAAATACGAGGCATGACTAATTTAGTCATAATATAGTTAGTCATGACTAAATTTCGATAAATCATGTTCAAATGGGTGCTAAAAAAAGAAAAATACACTTCATCACTTTTAAAAAATTTTCTAACAGAAATTTATTTCATCAAAACGAAAATCCTTCAACGCCTTATTTAACAAAAATCAATGTTCCAATTATATGTAAAACTCCACCGTTATGAAAAGCCAAAAAATAATGATAGTGATAATGATAATAATAATAATAAAATAAAAAAATCCTATAACAAGCTACGCTTTGAAAAGTAAATATGTTTACATAACCGATCAATGTAAAAAATATTTCTTTGAATTAAAATTTATTCCACTTAAAAGGAGAGATTTCTACATTATTTGGAAAATACACCATCTAGGGGTCTTGATTGTAATAAAATAGACATATAGAATAATTATGTAACTTTGGTTTTCGTTTATGATAACAATTTTTGAAGGTTGGCCTTGAGCACGTCTCTCATCTCAAAATTTTTATCCGGAGTCGGTTAGATTTTGGTAAGTTGGTCATTGTAGCCAGAGTTGGGCAAAATCAAATTAATTTAATCATGATTAAGAATTTTGATTGAAGTTTAATCATCATTGAATTAGTCATGAGTAAATTAATCATTATATGATTTAGTCATACCTCATGATTGAATTAATTATGATTAAATCACATAATGATTAATTTACTCATGACTAATTCAATCATGATTAAACTTCAATCAAAATTCTTAATCATGATTGAATTAGTTAGATTTTGCCCAACTCTGAAAACAGTGATTACAATAAAAACAATATATTCATTATACTTTACATACAGTACCATGATTAAAAGATTTCGAATTATTCTTTTTATGTATGGTCTTGGTTGAGAAATTTAGTGTCACGAGCGGGATTCGAACCCACGACCTTTCGGCTGAACCAAGCCGAAGGTCGTGGGTTCGAATCTCGCTCGTGACAATAAATTTTTTACCTCAACCAAGACCTTACATAACAAGAATAATTAAATGAAATAATTAACATCGTCAATTAAACCACTAAACATAAACGGGTTAATTTCAAATTATATTTGTGTTGCAAAACGTATGACAAAGAAAAACTTCCTTGCAAAGTTGAATAATTAAGGATAAACGACAGAAAATTTTGATTATTGCCACGTGTGAAGTTTCTTGCCATTTTAAGTGTAAGCTGTCTCAGATCGACTTGAATAAAGTCTTCTGATAATTGGGACTTATCAATTCGACTTAAACAAGCGGAGTGCGTGCTCTCATTTCCGCTAATTAACGCAAGCATGGAATGCAGAGTACTTAAAACGCTTCAAGTAAACTTTTAATGTGTCATTAGCTCTGATCAAAGTCGAAGAATATTAAAAGAATACAACAAAAGAATAAGAATGCAGAAAACAAAATACCTTCCTAGACATACTCGTAATAAGACAAAAAGATGGCACACTAATTAGTACCGAAAACTAAAAAACACTGATCACTACCACAATTATACATCAAACAACACAATATTAAGAACGCCTAAAGAATTATTGCACAGAATCTTATCTCTAAGTCATGAATCCTATCACCTGAAAAATATTCAAACATACAAACAAATCTTACAAAACAACAACTACCCTAAAAACATAATCATTGACAGTTATAACCCAGCACTACACAAAACAACATCCTCCTCAGTATACAACACAACAACACAATCAAACAAAGACAGACCAATATACATGTCCATTCCATTCGTCCACACATTGTCACGCAAATTAAGTAAATTTCTTTCCTCAGAACACATTGAAATAACTTTTAAAAACCATAAAAAGTACATACACTTTTTTCCTAACTTAAAGACCCAACGCCAACAGCGTACAAATACATTGGAATTACATCGCTCATTCTAGAAAAATAGCAAAAACAACACATTTATGACTGTAAAACATCAAAAACCAATCCCACATCATTGGCACCACTTTGAAAAAAAAAATGATTTCGACAAAATACAAATACTAAACACAGAAAAAAAATAAATACAAACGCAACATTTTTGAAATGGTTTACATTAACAGAAACACACTCAGCATCAATTACAGAACAGTTACTGGAACTCAGCCGTACCTACGCCAAGATCATAAAGCAAATAAACTATTAAATATTATTTTCATATTTCCTTGGTTATCGTCCTTAATAATTAACTTCCTTTCCAATATTGAATGCCGAATCACAAATCCAATCCCGAAATCCCCATTATCGACTTCCTTCGAGTTAAATAAAACCGCCTATGATCAAAGAAAATTTCTCAGATGGGGGACACGGCGGATCACAGTCATATAAAAACAGCCCAATACAAAAGTTTCACAACACTTTCACAAAAAACCAATATGACACCACAAGAATAATAGCACCACACTTTATGTAAGTGTAAAATACTTGGTACAAAATTTATATTTAAATGTTAAATTGTATTTTTTTTCAAATCAACTTAAGTTTTGTAATTTACCCAGGCACTGAAGATGACCTGAATGAAAGTCGAAACGTCAGCAAAATGAAAAAGGTGTTTTTCTAAACTACCTCATTCTTGACCGCACCTCACGACTTCAACAAAATATTAACTTAATCCATATTTGCTTAGTGGTCATAACTGACCATATTAATTTTCCCAATTAATTATTCTTTTTATCTTAGGTTTTTGCCTGAGATGAAAAATTATTGTCACGAGCGGGATTCGAACCCACGACCTTCGGCTGAACAAGCCGCTGCTCTAACCATTGGGCTATCGTCACTTCGCCATCTCAATCTATAACCGTTCAAATTTTCCCTCTTTTTGCCGTATTTTCAAATGTGTATTTCTCGATTCTCAGTGATTTATGTTATGTTTCAGAAGTAATTACTTCTTTTTAATCAGTAAATTAATCCATATTTGCATAGTGGTCATATTTATCCATATTAATTGGAATATTATGAACAGTAGACAAATCATAAAATACATGTACTTCATACCTTGGCAGGAAATTGTAATAACAGATATTTGACGAAATATTTAAATTTAAAACTTGCCGTTGGTGGATGATTATTTTTTCTAGTACAAAGAAAATTTCCTTTTTCATCAATTTCAAATAATATATATGTGAATATCAAAATATTGTGCATATTTTCCTCCTGTCGAATATTTCGATAGAGCTTTTTCTTATCTTTCCTGTTGAGGTTTTTTTTTATCCAAGAGAAGCAATAAATTAAGTTGGATGCATAGCCTCGGTGATTTATTGGGCATATCAGAGTGAACGAGTGGGAGTATCTGCAGATAGGGAAAATATTTTAAAATAATTGTCCCAAAGACATCTCTGTATAAAATCACAACAAAGATCCACGGATAAGCGCGATGAGTGATTCGAAAAGCCTTAATGGATTTTTTTTAATCTCCTCCTTTTTAACAATTGCTTTAGACACTGTAATTTACACTAGGCCCAGTTAAACAGCTTTAACCTAGCGTTATTAATCTACTAATCCTGCCGAGCTTTTAAACTGAAAAGAGGGAAGAGTTATTGCCCTCTAAATTCTTACTAGCAATTTGAATGAAACAACGAGTCATTAAATAGTACAAAACAATCAGTTAATCCCTACCAGCTTTGTAAAAAAGAGAAAACCAGATTCTATTTAGTCGAATATACAGGGTGATTGGTGATTAGTGTCGAAAATTTCAGGAGGTGTTTCTACTCACCATATGCAACAAAAACTTCCTATAAACCCCTGTCCAAATTTCAAGAGTAAAGAAGTAATTTCAGGGTTTTTTTTAATTTTTCGACTTAAGTCCACTAAATTGCTTTTAAACTTCAGAATTACTGACTGTAAAAATATTTGTGCCTTCCAGAAGCGCAATCCAAAAAGGTGGGTATGCCGCTGGAAGCTAATTGAATGGAGAACTTTTGAGGGAATTATAAAGCACCAGGTGTTTGTAGTTTTAACAGTTACAAATCCAACAGTTTAAAAAATTCCAAATTTCAACATTTTTTTAATGAATTTTTCGTGCAAAATTTTTTTATCAATTCTGGAACGTAAATAGGTTTCCCTAAAGCAAATTTAATGTTCTTTCAGGTGGCACAAACCAGATTTTTGTAAATTCAGTAATTCTGAAGTTGAAAAGCAATTTAGTGGACTTAAGTCGAAAAATTAAAAAAAGAACTTGAAATTACTTCTTTATCGTTGAAATTTGGACAGGGATTTATAGGAAGTTTTTTGTTGCATATGGTAAGTAGAAACACCTCCTGAATTTTTCGACACTTATCGCCAATCACCCTATATAAAATAAACAGTAATAATAGTTGACTTATTTTAATGAGTTTATTTCTTTTTGACAAAATAAACAGTCAGAAAATTAGCTAATATTTCTTCCTTAAAAATTCTTGGCTTTTATCGATTTGTCTTTTTGTTTATTATTGTTCTAAAGAAATTAAATTAGTCAATGATGTTTTTTGACAATGTGTAAAGAAGTTTTCTTCTCAAAGATACAAAAGTTTCCTAACTTTGCCATCCGCTCTTTGGGCTATCTAAAAATTGCGCACCGGCAATGACTGGAGTAGAAAAATTAAGAAAGATCTTGGGCCGACAGCTCATTACGAGCTTGATGCTATTAGGGTGAAATGGGATAAGTTATATAACCAGAGTTTCATCAATCTTTGACTACGAAATTGAAACACGTATCTGACTCCTTGGTGTATGCTCTATTCACCAGTTTCAAGTTTTTTTTACCGTATTTTTCTCCAGCCATAAAACTTCACATCCTACTCATAAAAAAAAGTTTAGTGAGCTTTTTCGGCAATTGTTTTGGAAAAACAAGTAAAGACAAATAAAGTTCGTAGTAAGAAAAGTTAATGAAGTAGTACGACCTGGAAATTAAAAGTGAAACTCAAGGAAATAGAAATGTTTCTTGGTTAAAAGATTAATTTAGGTTTATCCTGTGTCTTGATCAGGTTCCAGGATTAGATTTCTCGTTTATCAAGTAACTCAATGAAAGTTTTATTCGTTGTAAGACAAAGTCAAATTAAATAGTTTTCTTAGCGATGTTTCAAGTTTTAATGTACAAAAGGGAAAACAATTTATAACCAATGGGCGTGGAGATAATTCCCGATAAGCCAGTCGGCAGTTTTCTTTGAATAATGCCTTCCTTCTATTCTGCGATAAAACTAAAGCAGGGCGGCTTTCATATAAGCGAAAACCAATGCCTAGAAGGCTGGAGCTATCGTGGGTAAATATCAGAAATTATGCAACTCATGACGCTCCTTCTTATCAAACTAGCAAGACCTTGGGTACGGTGAGCTTCCATAGATAAGATCGGAAATAGGTAACTTCTTATCTATATATATAAAAATGAATGTTCGTATGTGTGTTAATCATAAAAATGAAAACTACTGAATCGAAACGTTCACACTTTATTTGTATTAGTGCCGGCCGGGCTTAGAGAATTGGGCATATAAATAATGGGCGTCAGTATTTACAAAAAAGAGATTTCAGGAATTTATGGCGTCCGTTTTCACTTCTATTTTAACATCTGTCAGCTGTCCAGACGGGACTTAGATTCCCGGTATGATACACGTTTCCCGCGCCTTTCAAATTCCGATTTGGAGGAGTTAACAGACAATGGACATACAAACTACACTAACACTCTATAATCGCAAAAATTGCTGAATCGGTTAATAGTTGCAAACCTACAGTTGGTTTCCTGATGTAAAGATAATCTTCACCGTTGTATATTTTCTATAGGCAGCAGTGGTGTAGGTAGGAAAACGAACTACCGGCATGTGGCGTTACCGACGGCCGTTCGACTAAGCCAAACTATCAGAATTGAGAAAAGTTCTCTTAGTGAACTTTTAGTTAGTATACAGAGATAAAGGACTATAAAAACTGATTTTGTTTTACAGGTATGAAGAGTCAGGATGGAACGAGAGGTTTGTATGGAACGTTTGGAAACTTAAAAGAAAGAGTTCGTTGTGGAATTTGATATGATTGGCTGAGTAAAGAGCTTGACTAGTTAACTTATTTTTGAATGGGAATATCGGATATAATAGATTTTGGTCGACTTGGTAGAATCCGACAGTTTCACTTCTTATGTCCAATGGGTCTTGTATATAGTGATATGTTTTGACAGTCAAAACAGATATCGTTAGGTCTTCGTTGGTATAGTCCCGATTATCTGACTCGATTGGAATTTGGTAGTTCCTTGTTACCTGTTGTTTTTGGGTAATGTTTTTATGCATTTCGTCAATTTTCTGCTACTTGATAGGGGTGCAAACACCTAACTTGAAAAAGACAATGCCACCACTGCTGCAGCAACAGATGCAAGTAGAGGAAAAAACTTGCCTCAATACACTGCCGAATCTTTTGGCAAGGACAAATTTTTTGCGTGGAGGTTTGACACATCGAATAGCGCCATATTTAAAACCCTAACCTGGAAACCCCACATTTCCCAAATCTCCCGTCGATGTTTCTCCACCCTCCGACAATTCGGTCATGCAAGTCTTCCCAATCAACACCCGCAAACTCTCCTTACAGTAGAATCAACGGGTGTTCTTGTTGTTAGGCCCAAAAGGATTACGAACTTCTTTCTTTGGTTAATATTTAGCTACCTAAAGAGATTCCATGCGTGTACTATGTTCGTGGTTTGACATGGATGTAACCCTCCTACCGCAGGCTGTACTTTCTTGACTCCTTCCCTTTTCAAACAATTTCTTCCCATTCCCCTACCTATATATTAATCTGTTAGCATTTAATTCTTCTATCCACACTCGTTCCGGCCATCCGTTCCTTCAACCTCTAGAATTCTCTTCCTAGCCCCATTCGCTATGCCTCAACCCTTTCGTTTTTTAAGTTCCCTCTTTTGTCTACCTCCTGTCGCTACCAAGGATTGTAATTTTTCCGTTCTTTATTTCATTTAGTGAGTTTCGTTTATTTTTATATTAGTACATTTAATTCTTTATTGATATATCCATTTTGGCATGAATTGTGCCATATTCAAGTGCCTTATTCGCCCCAAAGCCCTAGAGTCAAATTGATTTTCTTCTTACAAATAAATTAAATGACCTAATTAGGTTAAACGTTTATGCATTCGTGTTTTTTCTAGTTATTTTTAATATCAGTCGTTACTTTCATTATATGTAGTTTTTTTTTGCTTTATGATCTTTGCATATTAGCCATAACGAATTTCTTATATATATTGTTCAAATTGCGGGTTATCGGGAAAAAAAGGGCCAGAGGCGACGGTGGGAATCGAACCAACGACCGCGGCGTGAGAGTCTCTCATGCTAACCACTCGGCTACCGCGGTCCCTTTGTATTATATATAGTTGATTACTTTTTTATAGACTAGGGATAGTTACACTTTATAAATAGGTATTTTTTATTTTTGTTTTTAATACAAACCGTAAACATACATATTTAATGTGATATTGATCGTTCATAATCCTGTTTGTATGGATGAATATTGCTTTTGACGTAGTCGGTGGCCGCATGACAGTAGGGAAGACTGAAGGCGCATTGACGAACAATACCGAAATCGAATTATGCTCGTAAATAGACTTTTTTTTGTTAAAAGTGAAGTAAAATAAATAAAACTGTAAAACTGATGTTTTTAAGGGTCTGTGTAATGAACGTGTGATGCACGGAGAGGAAAAAATTGAATGGTGTAGTGGTGAAATGAGTTCCTTTGTTCTCTGGGCTTTACAATTATATTAATCATACTTTGTGTTTTTAAAGACCAATATTACCATAAAAACTCATTTCGCAAAAAGGGA